ACCAAAAAGTGAATTAGCCATTGAATTTTTTTCAATAGGAGTTGAAATTTTTCGCGAACATCGTGATTAACCATTTGCCCCCTAAAAAGTCACAAGGGAGGCCCTTGTCGCTAAAGCCTGTAATTTGCTTTTCCTCTTTTTTGAATGTGTTCTCTTCCTTTTGGTATGAGTTTCATTCTATACCGATTTTTTTGATATGTTCCTATTCCGAATGTAACACCCGATTTTGTAAATATTATGCCAAATTCTTAATTGAATTTGACTTTTACTTTAATTTGATAAGTTATATTTTACTTAGTCCAAAAACAAGCACTGCACTTAATCATCTTACGTGAGTGTTGTCGAATATTATATGATTCTAATTAACTTTCAGCTTCATAAACTCCGATTATGGCCGAATGATAGGAAGCTATTCCTTGATAACGCTAAGAGAAAACACCATAACAACCCTTAATTTCTCGATCATAATATAACTAAAATGTAACATAGGCGTCTTCAATTTGTTTTTAACGAAGGAACGACAGTACTATTATTATTAATTCAAAAACACTTCTATCTAAACGTCTTCAACAGTATTGCCTCAAGTTTTCTGTCAAAACAATGGGTGTTTTAAAACGGGTGCGACCCGGCCGAGGGCGTAACGGAATAATAAAATTTCCACTGTGGGTGACTCCCGGCTTCGCGCGTCGCGGAATGGGCACGCAACGGCCGATATTTTTTGTGTCGCAAGCGCCTATAAGGTACGGTGGCCGGTTACCATCAGACGGGCAATTCTTTGAATGAAATTCGTATTATATCTACCTTTTGATATTAAAACGAACTCTTATTGCAGTATTAATATCCCTGCAATATTTAAAGTGCTTTCACTTGGCTTGGCTATAGTAAAACTTTGGGACATCCTGTATAAATGAGAGGACGATCAACTATTCTAGTAGGGCCCTAAGTTAAGATTATGATGAATTAAAATTACAACAGTACTATAATGATCATCATAATAATCATAATCAAAATCATTTATTCAGTTTAGGCTGTTACAAGCACTCTTGAGTGTCTAGAAGCTACGACCTCAGTTTGAAATCTACGGCGGGACACCTTGTATTGAGAAGAACCGGCAAGAAACTCAGCAAGGGCTCTTTTTTCCTCCCGGTTTTATTATTTACAGAGTCGTCAAGTTAAAAAATGACTTCAGAGATGGTTCATGAACTTTCCTTTCATTACATAATGATTAAAAATACATTAGTTGTTTCTCTGCATTTTGATCGCTGTGTCATAAAAATACGAATAGTGTACATCTTACGTATGCACTAATTAAGTAAGGCTAGACAAAGAGAGGGCAAACGGAAATCCGTTTAAGAGCATTTAAAGATGCACTTTAAAGCTAATCATCTGTATACCATAAAGTTTGCAAATCCCACTGTTGTTCACAATTCCACCTTCCTTTTTTCTTATCTCGCAATTGACTATACCTACTTAAAACGTAACAAAATAATAGCTATCTGCCAACGTATTAATTTCAATAAAAAACGTGAACAGAAACATAAGAAAAACAGACTCCTATCTGATTCATAATAGACGTCAACAAATGACTACCAAAAAAAAAAACGAAAACAAAAGAGCTACGAAACCAAAAGAAAAATCTGACCAAGAGCGATTCTGGCCTCTCTCTATTAGAATTCCGTAAAATCTTTTGTCTGTTTACTCCACATCTGACAAAGTACATTATGAATTGGCGTTTTTAGTATTTGTTGTTTAAATACTTACAGCATATGGGATATCAATTACCAAAATTTCACTTTCTTAACTAGATTCGATTTTGAACAAGACCCCGTAACATTAATAGTCTAAAAATGACAACTTGACAGCCCCATCTCTTTGTTATTCAAAGTAATTTTTTTAATATTATATTTATCACATTTATCACATGGGGATAATAATGGTCTCCTTTTCATGTTTGGGACACGCCATAAAAAATAAATTATTTTTTTATTAAATAATAAAAAATATTATTCATTATAATATTAATAAATTTCAGTTCTATAACTCATTCCGTTTACAATAAAGAGACCCGTGACATGTGGACAGACAGACGACAGAGTCAACAAAGTGACCTTTGACTACGGAACCCTAAAAATCCTATTCACACCACTTACAATGAGATGGCTATTAAATTTGACAACCCAATCATTATAGTATAACAACATGAAGAGTATGTACTAAATTATCACTGCTTTATATTAGATCTGTTCAAAACAAAACGATGAGTGCAAGTAATGACCCATGATGATAGAGTAAAAGAGTCAATGAAGATTGCCGACCACAGTTATGATGTGAAATTGCCCTTGAACAAATTACAGAGACTAGTAATCTTGACATTAAGTGCATTTTGAATACGCCATAAGTTTTTGACGGAAGATGGAGACATTTCGCGACAAAATTGTTAAGATAATGATAGAATAATAATAACATATTTTTTTATAACTGAATGGGATGGATACCAAATAATGAAACTCATTCATTTGGCTAAACTTCTGAAGTCAACATTGATAACTACTAGACGCGAAAAGTAAAATTACGGAAGTTGTTGAGAGAATAGTTAGCTTATCAAAAGTCAATTCCGTCTGTGGCATTATTCGAATTGTAACTTAGCAAGAGTAAGATCGAGTCGAAGACTTTATCTAAAATGTTATCGCTAATCAATAATATTTCGATCCATTTTTTCACTTACCCTTTCTTTTCTCTGCTACCAATGTTGAAGACTCCATACAATATCGCTTTCAATATAGCCTTTATGACTTTACTCTTCCTAACCGATGAACGTGTGACCTTTTGTTGTTTTGTTTCGCCTAAGGGCGAATAGTTGGTGTCAGATGTCCGGTTTTCTCTCGTTAGATTGTTCACTCTGCCCACACCGCTGGTGATCTCTTCTTCGCGAAATTATATATCAATGTCATGTTACAATATACTTTTTTTAAATAACCGATTGAAGTTTAATTATTTATAGGTAAGTAGTTACATCATCGCCATAAGGCATTTATGACCCTACTAATGTAAAGCATTCGAAGTAAGGGCCTTCTCAATGGATATAAACGCTAGAAGAATATGCAATAACCCACTATGTGTGAGCTCGACGTAAAACAGTTTTGATTACTACATCCATAGTTTGACCTTTTCTAAAGTTGATAATTGTTAACAAACACGGTTCAGATACACTTTAGATTTAGAGTGTGTTCACAATTTATTATAGAATTCAATTTATTGAGAATACATATGATAAAGATAATATTCAAAGTTGCTGCTTACGAGTATCATACAGATCAGAATTGCTCTAGGGTTGAATTAACTTATTTCCAAGTTTGCGGGCTTACCTCAGACACGGGAAGATACTAACTCTTCCAAAATCAACCTCACAAAAAGAGGTATGTTTTTATTCCAAAAAAGGGGAGGACACATTGCATGGTCCTTATGGCTACAAGTGGTCAGTATATCACGTCAGACACTTGGGATACTAGAACTACCTTGCGCTGTACCCGCTCAAAGATTCATTTTTTACACATTCTCTGTAGCAATCTGACAATGATGAATAATATTTATTGAAGAACGTTTCGGAAACGCCAAATCATCGTATTTTACAAATAAAACGGACACATTTTTATTTAAATGAGTACTTTAATACGGAAACAGTGTTATACTAACACTATAAAAGGATTAGTATCGATTTTTCTGTAGCTGTAAGGTACTTACATTTAATGGAAATTATGCTTTCTAAGCATTATCTGTATTTTCTACGAGGCAGCATTACAGGAAACAAGTGCAAGCGCAGTCATTTCGGAGTGGTCAGTACCTCCACCAGCAGCAACATGTTTTCTCTTTGTTCTCACTCCAGCGAAAGCTAATTCACTGATAATATCGTATGATCGGTTCAAATTGTACGTAAATCATAATTATCTAGTCGTTTATCTGAACAGTGTGCGTCCAATACATCATGCTTCAAAACTAATAGTGACATTAGTAATCTGATTTATTTATCCATTTATTAGTCTCGTTGTTTCAATATCACCGTCAATCGTTCTTTATTTGTGTTTAACAATCAACAATGAAATGAGATTTATCAATTCTTATTGATTCATTGTAATATATTTTATTGACTTCTCTGTTAAGTAGTTGTTACATTTTAGATATAGTACACGCATATTATTTCTCAATTTCTGAAACGTTAAAGTTCTTGACCAAAAATTTCTACGCACATAACCTCCCACGGGGAGAATACGTTTACTTAATTATGATTTCGCAACCGCAATACCATTAAGAGAGCCGATTCACTTTCAATGAAGAACATGAAATTGGTCGAAATCACGAGAAATATAATCTATAGAAAGTCGAGCCTTTAATGAATGACTGCTGTAAACCTGTTTTTGCCTTTACCTGTTTCGTAAGCTACTGACTTCGTTAACCGGCTCGGTCTGTTGTGAGAAATCTCTCTGGTGACGCCTAATAATTGTATACTAATATAAAAATGTAGAACGTATATTAATATAAAATATACATATTAGAGAGAGCGGCCCAAAGACCTTTTTTAAAGAGCTAGGTGTACATTCAAGAGAAATTGTCTCTGAAACCAGTAAAGTTATGCTCATAAATGATTATTTAGCATAATTTACTGAATTTATTAAATTTTTTGGCGCCTCGAAGGCGGATAAAAGAAAGTTGTTATGCAAACACATCTGCTCGTGTCGTATACTTAATGAATGTGTTATGATGGATTGGCAATTATAAATGTGTTTATTATAACTTTTACAGTTTTATGACATCGCAGATTTGTTTTCCGTCCCAAAAATAGGACCGTTAACTGTTTTCTTTTTTAATCGAAAGTATCAGCTGTTTTCGTCGTCATGTTATTATTCAACTTTGCATCAAGTAATATTTGCGGCTTGGTTGGAAATAAAAAAGTACGAAATTTGCAATAGTTGAATAATTTATTTTTATTTCATAAATATAATGGCAATAAATTAGAAATAAATAGTATCAATAAATAATAAAGTCTTTGTACAAAAGAGGTTTAAACATTATTGCGGACTTAAGAATGCCCGATTTTGGTGATTTTCTATCTACTTATTGTGAGAGTAGGCGCTGTACGCGAGGTTTTGCGCCTCATCGAGGTTCTTGTTCCAGTCGGATCCGTAGCTGGAGTAGCCACCGCCGTGGCCATGGCCCGAGTCGTGGGAGACATGCTCCACGTGGACTGGATGATGGCTCTCGTGATGGTGGGCGTGAGGAACGACCTCGTATGTTGTCTTGGTATGGTCTCCCTTCAGGCACCAAGCGACGAATAAGATGACAGCTAGGACCAGGGCGATTTTAGCGGTGGCCAAGGCTTTGAGGGCGATGAGCTTGACTATGAAGAGCTTGCCGAGCAGGATCTTGGCGCCGAGGAGACCGATAATACCACCCATGCCGCTGCCCTTCTTGCCGCCGCCGCCTCCCTTGCCACGGCCTGTGGAATAAGCAAAATCATATTAGTTTTAGATACTACGATAATAAAGTTATATAAATTAGTGCTATTTTTAGTTCTGGTAAATTGTAGTTTTCAATTTCTATTCAAAATGTAGACTGGTATACTATATGAACAGCCTACATTTGAGTTTTTTCAAGATCCATTTTACATAACAAGTAACGGTACATTACGTAAGCTTGTTTCCGTGAAGCATCAAATTTATCAGTAAATTATATTGAAAATGATTCGATACGCTATTATTAGAACATTTTTTTATATAAAATGATTCATTATAAATATGTAAAATTCTGACAAGACCTAGATAAGTTCGTAAATAATAAGACCATATTTAAAAATAAAACAGTTATATATCTACTTCTACGACTAACCTTCATCGAGAGACCTCTGCAGGGTCTCCTTATCAGACTGGTTCATTTTGACTTCCACAGCATGGGTCTCGAATAGACTCACTACTCCATCCATGAGTCTGTAGTTGACCTCGACATCTCTGGCAGAAGGATCCACGGGAAGAGCATCTAGTTTCTTTGCCCTCTTATCAGGATCGCCTTTCAAGACTATGCCTTCAGCAATATTGATGCTCCTGGATGCCCTTAAGTTGTCGACAATCCTTAGCATTTTCTCCTGCAAAAACAAAACGTATTATTGCAACAGCCAATCGAAACAAAAATAAAACTAAAACTACTTTAATACGTAATTAAATCTTCGTCACTTCTTTCGGAAATCATCAAAACTACAGTTAATTGAAAAGAGCAACGATAATTACAATGTAACAACATTGTGAGAACAGGGAAAAGCTCCCAGCAACCTTATACCGGCACTGTACGCACTGTTAACACGTCCCATTCACTAGTTCACTTTCACTTTTTATATAAAATCAAAATTATGAACCTTGACACATAAAATGTAATCTCCCTTGCAGTCCTTGATGAAGTTGATGGCTGTTTCCAGGGTATTATCACTATCTTCGGCAGCGGCAAAAGCCACGAGGGCAAACACGATAGCGGCGGCGAATTTCATTTTTAATTTTTTCTTTTTATTTTCAAATTACAAAAGATTTAAATCAAATCTTTTTGTGCTGGCCCGAACCTTTAATTTTCTGACATCGAGAGATGTCAAGCAATGTTTGGCGATCTGGCAGTCTCGCCATACAGTTTTATCATTTCCCCTCCCCACTCCCATTCTATGTTATGCTCACACGAGCTCTCATCTAGGTTAAGATGAAATTTGATTCAGTTTGGACCCTAATGTTTATGCAAATAAGTACGTTTCGAGACGAATTTTGAGGACAAGGAAGGTATGCCGCAGGGTCACGCTAGGTCCACAAATTGTTTATAGTAATAAATTAACACAATTAATTTGCAATCCATTAGAATTTTAGAAATGATAGAAGTTGACTTTTAAGATTGTTGTATTGCGAATTGTTAAACGTTGGAAATTTTGTGGTTTTAGATAAATAAAATGTAGGTTCACTATAGAGTTTTAATACGAATAATTTCTTATAAAAAATATATGGGCAAACTTATACAATTTGCTATCGAAAAAATCGTTTTAGACTATTAGCAAAAACTGTTTTTTATGTTCAATTTTAGTATATCTGCCATGTACCGAATCAGCACATTAATTAGTCATTATTTTAAACAATAGAACAAAAAAACAGATTTTACTTTGGTACAACGGCAACTCGCCTTAAAAGTGTTTTTGTTTTATTTTTGTGATTCTTATAATATAACCAATGATCTATAAATAACAAAGTAATAAAATTTATCGCCGTCTAGAATGACTGGAAATTAACGAGTTGATTTAATAATAGTCATTCAACTTTCTTTCAGGTTCATATAAATTGCTATTACACTTGAAAATTCAATATTATGAAATTCTCTGATAGTTGTTGAGCAGGTTTCAAAGAAAAGTGTTATTGGTTGATTTTCGTGGTTGATGTAGGAACTCAATACTAACCTTTAGGTTTAAACATCTAGCAGTTAAATGTTTAATAAATAAAAATATAATAAATTTAATACTCTACTTTATAAGTCACTTGTTTTGTAAAATCTACTTAGGATTTTTATAGTTTTCATTGTGTTTCTTTTAAATTAATTTGAAATTTGAAGAATTATGAAATAGTATGGTTATTTCTTGTTTCTTGAATAACATGAACGATATCATTAATTAATGGAAATATAAATGGTTTGCTAATCATTTTATTGAAAAATTCCTCGTGGATGTTTCTTTAGGAATATCAATTAATATTGTGTTTTTGTACGGCAGTCGCACTATGAATCTGGTTTAGATATAAATAGAATTGGGTTTTAAAATTATAATGCACTTTTTTGTCACAAATATTGAAAGTGAAAACTTATTATTTGCATATGCAGATGAGTCTTCTACGGCTAGGTAAATAAGTATTAACAATTAATATTGTATGTAAATGCATTTTTTTTCACTTTAGTCATTAATATTATTAATTATATCAATTCTATATGGCTATCATAATTAAATATTGAAGTTTGAGTAAAATCTTTATTTTTGAATCCAAAATAATAATGATATACATAAGATTTCATAATATTCACAGTATTGATACATTTTATTAAGAATATTGGTTTATATTAATGTAAAAATGGATAAAATTAATATGAGGCACAATAGTGCATAGTCTGGACCCCAATATACACATTTTTCTTTTTTTTTATAGATAGGTCCGAAACATCACGGACATCTGGACCTAAAGATTTAAAAGTTTGATTCCTACATTGACTCGGACAGGGTTCAAAAGCTATTGGACCAGGTTACCCAAGAAATTAACGAGATTTTCCATTGTTATTTTCCATTGATTATGCAATGCATTATTGGTACCTACTATTACATATAAAATTCAGCACTCTTTTTCCATATATATTTTATTATCCTATATCTTACACTCCTCAATTTTGGTAAAAATTAGGCTTTATTGATTACGTTTTCTCTGTATTTGCAATTCAAATTTGACTGCTTAAATAATTTCTCATATTTTTAGGGTTCCGCACCTCAAAACGGCGGACTCAAAAACGGATCTATTATGTTAGGGTCATATGGTTGTCTGTCTGTTTGTCTGTCATTGTAGAATGTAGATCTTCACTTGTTAATTACAGAATAACCTATATGGAGTTTATAGTAATTAAAATATTTTTTATTTTTTTTAACGGCAGGCAAACTAGCGTATGGATGGTAAGCGGACAACATAGCCTTTAAACATTTGCGATACCAAAAATATCCCTCGCAGAGTTGCCTTCCCTTATTCAATGCCCTACCTCGCAAAGGGGTGAATATTTAAGGAGGGCTCAAATACAACCAGACTTGTCAACCCTACTATTTAATATAGTATCTTACTATATTAGGGGAAAAATACTATATTTCTTAAAATTATATATAGCAGGCGAAACTACTATATTTTGCTTAGAGCAGACTTTTACCAGACAAAACTTTCTTAAAAGCAAAAACTTAAATTTTAAGGCATTAAAAGTAACTATTTTACAACATACTATACTTTTTTCCCAGTTTTTACCATCTACTATAGTTTAGAGGTAACTAACAGCTTCGAAAATTCTATATTTGATAGAGAAAACAATTGGACAACAGACGTGATGTTACAATATTGTGTCCAATGTTGTTGATATTGGTATTATATGAAGCCCTTCGTGCATGAGTCCAGCTCGCACTTGGCCGAATTTTATTTAAAATCAGCTTCATCATAATTATGTACTTAACTGATTGATTCAAAAGAGGTCGTAGGATACAAAGTGACCTGCTAAAATAGTACCTTCCGCTCCTCTAGAGAAGCAATCTCCCCTTAACAGTAGACTGCATTGGAATAAAAGTAAAGAATAGTCATAATCATCATCAGGGTATTATTTTCCCCACTGCTGGTGTAGGCCTTCCCTTATTGTGCTGGGGAGTAGGCCTTCCCCATGGATGGAATAGTGAGGGATAGAGATTGAGCCATGGACGGTCGGAATCGTGGGTGCTAACGACTTGGATGCAGCCGGGATCAAAGACTAAATGACTCAGAAGACGACGAGCTCGAGATTTTCTTGGTCTTTCCTCGGACCCAACCAATAACGGGCCATTGCGAAAGTTGCTTAACTTCGAGGATTGCAGACCTAACGCACTTTTCACTTGCGCCATAGCAAGAAATGAGCTGTTAAATAAAAGCAGTGCTGCTATGTTACTGTAGAGAGTAAGCTCAATGCAGCAGATTGTCTGGCCAGGAGGGGGTCGGACACTGTGGTATTTGGCCCAGAACCAATCGTACCGATCCCATACCGGCTGCTGCGAAGTTGGATTAGGGAACGATACCTGCGACAACACAACGAATACTGGGCTGGACTGGCAGACTGCAAGCACGCCAGGGAGGTCATACCTAATGTAGACCCACGGCTAGCAAGTAAGTTTTGCAAGTTACCAAGACATGCTTTGAGGCAAATAGTGAGCATTCTCACAGGACACGGACACTTCAATAAACATCTGTTTGAAATAGGTGTCTCGGACGGTCACCTGTGCAGAGCCAGCATGGAGGAAGAGGAGACGAGCACTCACGTCCTGCTACAGTGCAGAGGCGTGACCAGACATCGGATGACACTCCTGGGCAGCCAGCAGACTCTACTCGAGGCCTACGGAGACACCAAGAGACTGCTGAGCTTCTTAGGGGAATTGGGGTGGCACGAATAAGGCCATCTTCTCACGCAAAATAGGCACCTGGTGTCGAGTTGCGGAAAACACCCACCGTTAAGAAGAAGAAGAAGAAGCTCAATGAATATGTCAGAGAAGGCAAGGCGGAAGGTAGGGCACAGCGGATTTTCCGCTTATCTGGAGCGCCCGTCTGGGGAAGCAACCTCTATCTTACAGAAGACACAGTGAAACAACTATTGTAATTTTATTCACAACACTACCAGAGCTTACTCTGGGTAGTTGAATTTAGTAGGTCTAGTTCCAGGGCGCCACGGACTGGGTAAGGACAGGTAACGGCGCAAGTGACATTCTTTGTATCACTAGCATCTATAGAAAATGCTCAGGATTGTCGACAACTTAAAGGCATCCAGGAGCATCATTATTGCTGAAGGCATAGTCTTGAAGGGCGATCCTGATAAGGGGGCAAAGAAACTAGATGCTCTTCCCGTGGATCCTTCTGCCAGTGATGTCGAGGTCAAGTACAGACTCATGGATGGAGTAGTGAGTCTATTGGAGACCCATGCTGTGGATGTTAAAATGTACCAGTCTGATAAAGAGACCCTGCAGAGGCCTCTCGATTAAGATTAGTCGTGTAGTATTTAATTTCATTTCATTGATATATGGTCTTATTATTTCACGAACTTATCTGGGTCTTATCAGAATTTGACATATTTATTATGTTTTTTTTTATATATGCTTGTTTGCCACCCTTTTAACATAAATACGCGTGATTGACGCTCCGGTATAGCGAGATCTACAAAATAGTCCAGCCCCGTCTCTTTCTCTACGTATACATGATGACGAGAAACGTACAGATGTGCTGAAAACAAAACGCAAACCATCAAACAGATGACTAATTTTCAAAAAAGAATTCCATAGTTTGAAAATAAAATATTTTTGAACCAGGAACTATTAGTGAAAAAAGAAAATGGTCTTTATAAAGCCAGTATAGCAGAGCGGCAATTTCATAGGTAAATATCTATTATACAGATAGGGGAAACCACCCAATCATTGACACTCGTCCTATCATTGGCACTTTTGAGTTTAATTCGGAAAAACAAGGAGACAATAGACTATTCAAGGTCGTTACATATTTAAAACAAAAACCCAGTATGGTTTAGAAATTTGAAAATTGGCAGAATTATTCCTACAATCTATTGTTGGAACGAAGTTCCTTACGGCAGGCTTGGAGGGGATAGGGATTTTGCTGCCCGATCGAACTGAAAAAATGTGATAGTAAAACCGTAAGAAAAAATCCGTGGAAAAAAGTGCGTGGAATAGAACCGTTAAATGAGACGTGCGCAGGCGCAACAGTCGCATACACAAGCGAGTTTGCAATTTGTGTCGATTCTACATTAGCCGAAGGAACTTCGTTCCTACCTGGTGTCCCACGACACCACATCATTTTTTTTCCTGTT